ATTTTATTAATAGTTGTTAATTAGAAAATAAAATAAGGATAAATATACTTTTTGAATTTTATATCTTAGATTTAAGATAAATAAGTATATTAAGTTAATTAATAATTTATTTAAAATATTAAAATTTAATTTATAAGTATGTAATACATAAATATTTATAATTTTATAAATTATATTATTATTATAAATTATAAAATTAAATAATTTAAATTATAATTTTAAATAATATCATAATATTAATTTTAAATAGAAATAAATAGATTGTTAATTATAAAAGTAAATATATATACAAATAAAGATTAATTAAATATAATATAATTATTATTGATAATATAATTATTATATATATTATTATATTTTTATAACAATCCGAGTATATCAGAATGAGAGGGATTAAAAGATAGTACAAGTATGAGATAATAGAGTTGATGATGATTTAAATGAATTAATTTGTACTACCTATACTAATAATATGTATTGACTTTTTGATAGCTTATCTTATCAGAATTTCATAATGTACTTGACTCGAAGTAATATAGCTTATCTTATCAACTAACCCAAGCATGGTAGTTCACCGACCCAGCGATACGAAACGAAATGTATGAATATCGATTTTGTGTACAAATCACATGAATCGTTGATGGACAAGAAAATGTAACGCGATTATCGCACGATTTCGGGCAAAGGGGCCTCGCTATGCTGTTACTCCTCCAAGATCCGTCACTCCTTACGATCAAAATCCGGAAAAATGGTGTGGATTGGTGTTTGGTCTGCATGCATAAACAACCCTGATTCTAAACAATAAAAAACGACAACATATTATATTATACTTTTTAACTTCAGGAGCCTATAACTTGGGTAAATAAAATATAATAAAATAAAACTATTATAAATTATAAATAAAATCTAAAATCTAAAATAAAATCTGTAAAACCTAAAACTATTATAAAACATAGTAAATAAGATCTAGAATTTGTAACAGTTTTTTAAATATAAATATTTAATTAATTTTAATATAAACTAAATTTAATATCAGAATATTTATTATAAATTTAATGTAAAATGATTCTAATTGGAGAATATTTATTAGAAATTTTAATATAAAATAATTCTAATTGAATAAATATTTATGATAAATTTTAATATTATTCTATTAATTATAACAAATTTTGACATTAATCATACATTAATTTTATGCTCCTTGACTTATTTTTTTTAGTTATTAATAATGAATATGTGTTTTAATATGTTTTGTTAATTAATTGTATAAATTATTTCTTATATATTGATCATGATGTAAGAATTAGAATGAATTAGAAGGATTTTCAAGTGGCGCTGCTAGACCACAATGGCGAAAGTGTTTTTTCTTTCGTTTCGTTGGGATTGGGATTTTTGTTTTTGTTAAGATAAATTATTATATAACGTAAGTGTATAAATTATTATATAATAATATAAAATATTGAGATTTTGTTGTATAAATATAAATATAAATTATTATTATATAAGTTAAATTTTTTTTTTAAAATTTATTTTATTTTTAAAATTAAATTTGCTCTTATCTTTAAAATATATTTGAAGCTAGTAGGAAAAAAAAATTGGACTAAATTAATCTTATTTTAAAAATTTAAAGACTTAATTAAATTACCTTTTCCAAATAAATGGATTAATAAATAAATAAAGAGACTGATATATACCTTCACAAATGCAACACAACACAGAAAATGGGACTATTAAATATTTATAATATGGTCTAAAATTTATGTGATACGTAATCAAACTTTCTAATTTATAAACAAAAATTAATAAAATTTAACTTTGTCTCCTGCGGAGATTGATGGCGACTGAACCCTACTACCATGTATCTTTCCTCTTCCGTTTCTCTCGTATATAAATACCACGCGGAAGCAGAACAAACAAGTTCATTAAAACAGCTATGAAGAGAATTAACAGAAGAGAGATGAAGCATCCTAGTCTCACCCTTCACCATACACTCTCACTTCTCATTATCTTCATTCTTGTATTCATTTTCTTCACATCATTGCGTGTGGAAGCTTCAAGATCTGAACCGAGCACGTTTCAGCCTTCACCTGTTTCTATTCCCATCAAGGTCCACTTCCACGTGACTCGAGCTTTATCAGGTCCTAGTCCAAGGGGAATTGGTCATCAACTAAATACGTAAAATGCAACATCTTCATTTCAGGCATCTAAACGATCTCTTCATCATGGCAATTTCTTTTGTATTTGCAATGTCCTTAGCATGTGCTGAGGTTGGTTAAACATAGAAAACTCTTAGGAGCTGTGTGTGTATATATACAATAGTCAATAGGAACATCATCATGCGTGTATATATAAACCCTAAACCCTAGTTAGAAATAATTATAGGCACGTCATGATGAGAAGATTGTTTTTGGTTTAAATGTTTAAGAATTTTCAAAGACAACCTCCAGATCTTCTTTGTATCATTTTCTCTCTATAGCAACCACTTGGGGACAAGCACACAACAATTTCAATTGTCTCCTATGCGCCCATGTTGGTGTTGTAATGTTCTGTCTTACAGGTTTAGATGGAGTTTTATGTAGCAACTTATACAGACAAGTTTCTGTTTTTTAGCTACTTCCATTGTATCAGGCTCTTTTTTTTTTCCCAAAGGGGTATTACTTGTACCCCTCTTTGGACTACTTAATAAAATCCATGTTTTTGCCTTCTAAAAAATATCATGAGAAGATTGTATCACAGCTGTGTTTTTGCCTAAGGAGCTGAGTATTTTTACTCTGTAATTGTATCTTCCAGTGGCTCAAGACCGACCTCTAGCTCGAATTGATGCCAATATCATTGGCGCACATCTTTGCTCTTGAATTCTTCGGTCATGACTCGAAGCTTGCGAATATGTGTAGCTATCGGACCGTCCTATTTAGTTCAGCCACCGTTCAAGCTGACCATATTCAGGTCGATCCCATCACGGTGTCAACCACCTTCAGGCCAACCCCTTCACGGTAACTGGTACGACAATTACTCAACATTAAGACGTACACTCTAATTCTAGCGAGTGACAATGTAACTGTTCACACTTTGTTTCATGTGGTTAGAATGAAATATGTTGGAATTTAAGAAGAATTAGAAGGCTGAAACTCATGTATTTTATTTATACTTGTAACTTTTTAAATACACAAAATACATTGATACAAATTCTGTTCATAAACATAAAACTAAATGACAAATGTAAATACTCATAAAAGTGTAACAGCACCTATAATTCCTATAATTAAAATTCATAACAGGAATTCTAATAATGCTTCATTAATCTGAAATAAACTCAAATAATAGATGTTAATTCATATTCTCAACACTCTTCCTTGAATCAGTAGCTATTGACTCCAAGTTTCCCTCTCAAGTTCTCAAACTTTCCTCTTGGAAGTGCCTTTGTGAAGATGTCTTCTAATTGATCTTCTGTCTTGCAATATACTAACACAACATTGCCTTTTTTTTTTTTTTTAATCTCTAACAGAATACAACTTAACATTGAAGTGTTCCCATGAAAAATTGAATTTTTAGAAATTGCAATTCCTTTCTTCACAATTCTCTTAACAATTTTCTTCTTCTTGACAACCCTTAAGGCCAATTTTCCTGAAGAAAGGATTGTTAGCTTTAACTGAACTCAACACCTTATTTTTCCCACAAGAATCATCAACCTCCCTGGCAGAAGGCCGCGAAGAACTGCCATCAACAGTCTTTTGCACACTCATCTCCTTCTTCCTTGAAATAGAGCTATCATTCCCCTTGAAAGGTGACCTATTCAAATCCACAATAATTGAAGACACCCTAATCGGTTGCAAACCAGAATAATCACCATCCGAAACCCTTTTACTCCTCTCCCCATAACCGAAATCTGAATCCAAAACTGGAGTCACATTCAAATTAGGAACAGAAACCGAACTCAAGGGTGGTGGCGGCGGTGGCGGAGCCACAATTGCCTTCGCTACAAGCAAATTGGACTAAAAAGAAATATCAATCTCAACAGGACTCCCCTCTCTCTTATCTATCTCCTTCATTAAATCTAAAGAGAAGCTTTTTCCCTTCATTTTGACCTTGAACAGATCATGTCCACTTGCATCTTTGATCAAACACATTTTGTCTTCAAACAAAATTTTATAGCCTTTTTCAAGAAACTGTCCAACACTTAACAAGTTTTGATTAATTTCAGGCACAAAAAGTACATCAGTGATTATTTTTGTACCTGAACAACTTTCAATTGCAATAGTTCCCTTCCCTTTCACAACTATGCACTCTCCATTTCCAATTCTGACTTTTGAAATAATTGTCCTATCCAGCTACTTGAACAATTCTTCATCATAGGTCATATGATGTGTGCATCCACTGTCAATCAGCCAGCTCTCACAATTGTTATTGGTGGCAAAACAAGTTGCTGCTAATAACTGCTCCTCCTCTTGTTGGTCAGCCACTTGAGCCTCTGTTTGAGATTGTCTTTTGTTATTGCAAAATTGTGCAATGTGACCAAGCTGGTTGCAGTTGTTACAGCGTACGTCGAGTCTTCTCCAACATCTGGAGTGGGGATGGGTTCTCTTTCCACAGTGCAGATAAGGAGGATGATTTGGTTTCTCATCATCTCCTTTACCACCTTTGTTGGAACTTTCTCCTTGCTCAAAGTTGTTCCCTTAAGCCTCCTTTTTCTTTCCTTTGTAACCATGACTAAGTTTCAGTTTCGCTTGTAAAGCACCTTCAATCACGCCTTCCTCCCTCATGAGTCTCCTCTGTTCTTGGGCTTGCAAAGCATACATAAATTCTGCCAAAGTGATATTTGACAGATCCTTGGAATTTTCCAAAGAGGAAATGGTGGTGGATTCAAACCTCTCAGGAAGAGTCACAAGGATTTTCTACACTATCCTTGTATCAAAAAATTCTGTCCCAAGCAACCTCACCTTGTTTACAATGCTTAGAAGTCTATCAGAATATTCTTTCACCCTTTCTGACTCCTTCATCCGCTACATCTCAAACTCCCTGATCAAATTCAGCACTTGCATCCCTTTGACTCTCTCATTTCCTTCATACTCTTGTTTGAGAAAATCCCAGATAGCCTTTGCTGACTTTAGAGTCACAATTCTGGTGAAGATTGATTGAGAAACAGCAGAAAATAGATAAGACTTTGCCTTTGATTTTCGCTTCTTTCTTTCCTTATGATACTTGATTTGATTAAGTGTTGGATTTTCTGGTAATTGACCAATCTCATAATCCTCCTCAACAGCTTCTCAAAGATCATTTACATCAAGAAAAGCCTCCATTCTGACTGCCCATAGGTGATAATTCTCACCATCAAATACTGGTAGTGTTTGAACTGAATAATCATATTGCATTTTCAATTCTCAATATAAGTGTTTAGGTGTTTAGTGGAACTCTCAACCTTGCCAGGTCCCTCAAGAACAAAATAAACTCTGATACCAATTGTTGAAATTTAGAAAAATTAGAAGGCTGAAACTCATGTATTTTATTCATACTTGCAACCTTTTAAATACACAAAACACACTGATACAAATTCTGCTCATAAACATAAAACTAAATGACAAATGTAAATACTCATAAAAGTGTAGCAGCACCTATAATTCCTATAATTAAAATTCATAACCGTAGGAATTCTAATAATGCTCCATTAATCTGAAATAAACTCAAATAATAGATGCTGATTCATATTCTCAACAAAATATCTTGTTGTAAACTACCTCTGAAGAAGATAGTAAGAAAGATGTTAAAAGGCGAAAACTCTTAAAGTTAAAAGAAGGTTTTTCCAATGAGCTAAATACACTTATGAATGCTCTGGTTGTAGCCCTTTCCTGTTATCGGAATAGTAATGTTAGTAATGTTGGAGATAGCAAGAAATATACACACATACCAAAGATGTTTAAAATGCTTTATGTAGGGGTGACAAAATTATTGGTACCTGGCGTATCTACACATAAAATTCATCACCAATAATAAATTGGTAGTTTAAATGGATATTTACATATACGAGTATTGGTATTTTCTTACTTGTTTATAAACAGGTAAGGACGAAAGCAATAGTACCCATATTCGCAGGTACGCGCTAAATAATATTATTTAAATATTTATAATTTTATCTTATATTTTTTTTATATTATTTTTAATATTTAAAAAAATTATCATTAATTACAAGTTTAAAAATTAATATTAATTATTTATCTTTAATATTTTAATATACTTAACATTAAATATAAGCTTAAAATTATTTATAATACTTTTTTTTTTAATTTTTAAAATAATTCACAAATATCTATAGATATCTACAAATATTTATAAAATTCGTGGATATTCGCTAAATGAATACCTACACAGGTGTGGGACGAGTATGGAACAAATTTTTATCTGACGACATGAATATTTGTATCTTACTATCCAACTCCACAGGACCGCGTTGTCACCCCTAATTTTGTGTTTCACACAAAAATAGAAAATTTATAGAGTAGGAACCTATTTTGATAATTTTTTTTTCTCTAAAGACATTTTTATAAGAAAGAAAATAAAAAATAGTAATTAATGCATAAATTAAAAAATTAATATTTTAAAATTTAATATAAGAAAACTTTTATAAGCTAGATAATACATGAATTAAGAAAAAAATTGTTTTAATTTTTTTATAACTTTTTTTAAAAAAAATTATCCAAACATATTTACTTGCTGTTTTTGCTGGTCGTGGTTAGAAAATTGTGAAGATACGAGAATGAGAGAATAAATTACGCCAAAATTGGTAGAGAACAATTTGCAACTTCACCAACAAAAGTTCAACAAAAGTTACGATGATACGAAGATTGTAATTTCGTTCGTATGTAAGCCGTAGCAATAATAATGAAAAATAGTTTCTTCTGTAGGCAAAATATATTGATAAGAGGAGAAGGATGTTCTTGCCCATTTACATCGGAAGAACGAAAATGAATTACCAAGCACGTGCATCTAATTCTGTAGAACATACATATCAGCCCGAAAGGAAACAAGCACACCTAACCTAGTCTTTTAATTACTCATGACATACGTACTGTCCCTCTCCTTGAAAAGTTAACTACTAAACTTTAATACATTGATATTGATAGAACATAAATAAAACTAATATTAATCACCCAACCCGGGTATTAGGTAAGGGTTTATTATTTAATCATTTAAATAATTGTAATACAATATTATTAAGTTGTAATAAATTTGATTTCTTTGGATGTAAATATGAAATTAAAGTTGAATATTTTTTAAACATGTGATCATGTAGAGTGTTGAAATATATTCTTTATCAAATTGACCTCTCTAACTTAAAATATATTAACAAAATAATCCTCTTTTATGTTTCCAAACTTAGACTTGTTTACTACTATAAGTTTAAGTAAATTTGTTTTCTTTTCCCTTCATTCTCCTTTATAGTACCCCTTTCCTAATCAAATAAGAGGAGATTTTTTTTCTTTCCCT